TTAATAGCCATCCAACGCATCAGTGGCTTCCTGACGTGAGCCAATTTTTCTTTCCCATTCTTTATGTATACTATTGTGCGTGGCCGTCGTTCCTTTCCTTCCCTCTGTCCTCTTCTTTTCATCTCGCTTCTACTTTTTCCTTGGAGAAACCAGCTCCTCTGCAGGATCCCCTGACACCTACGAAGCAGCCAAACCACCACCGTGGCATCCAAGCCTACCTGGTCCTGCGGAGCAGCAGGCTGAGGCGACGCGTTGGCCATGCCCTAAGGTCGGTGGTCCTACTGCACGGCGGCGCGATGCTGCCAGACGGGGGCTGCTAGGGACGATGCCCATGGGATCAGACAAGCTACCCGGTCAACCGGCGGCTAGCATTGCCCAAAAAGAAATCTGCTAGAGATGCTCGACGGTTTATCACGGCCTTGTATCCAGGGCAAACTATTTTAGGAAAAGATGAGGAAATATTATGTTTTTGAAACGGGGGCAAAAGTTTTGCCTCATCCATTAAATAAGAGAGAATAGAGTTTGTTACAAGTAACTCGAATACACGACACAGGAATTACTCTCACAATATTATGAACCTTAGTTTTTTTTTTTGCACCAACGATGACCCAAAGGTTAGCCTCGTCGCGGTGGAGGCAGGCAATATAGTCGGTGGCGTGCTCTTATGCTTGAAGACTCGTGTGTTTCACTCATCCAAATAGTCCACGAAACAAGCAAGGTGTGGGATGCCTTGTCTTGTCGGTTTGGCGTGTCGTTGTCGCAAGTACTTGCCCACCAAGCCTCAACCGAGTCGAACAAGGGCCAAGCGGTTATGGCAAGCCCAAGAATGTGGTATTTGTCGATGACCAAAGACCAAAACCTTCGAGTGTAGTGGCGTTTGTATAAGAGGTGAGTCCCACATTCTTGCACCCTCTTGCAAAGAGGGCAAAGATCACAGTTTGGCCACCTAGGCTTAGCCAGTCAATCGGTGGTCCAAATTCTATCTTGTAGTGCCAACCAAGCAAAGAACTTGACTTTTGGAGGAGCCCAAGCCTTCCAACCATTTTATCCATGGGTGAGAGAACCATCCCCAGGAATTGCGCCTTGTATGCGAATGTCGCCGAGTAGGGCCCTCTAGTCGTATGCTTCCATAGGATGTTGTCCTCGGTGAGTTCATCGAGTTGGATCTCATGCAAGGCATCCAAAGGATGAAGAACTGTGTGATGTGCTTTGCAGATACATTGGTGGTGGTGGGGGTGATCTTGAGAATCCACACGTTGTGTTTAAGGGCCTCACGAACCTTCCACTTCTTTCTCTTGGACACTTCATGAATGAGTGGGGCAATGTCTTATGGCTTGCGACCAAGGAGCCAAGGTGAATCCCAGAAGGGGGTCTTCGCACCATTACCAATGATGATAGTGGTGGATGCATAGAAAAAGTTGAGGTCCTCCTCGTCACATGGGTTCCCATCCCCGCCCACATCTTGGTGGGCTTCTTCCATTCATACCACAGCCACCACAACTAGAGAGCACGCGTAAATTTGTTGGTGTTGAGTACCCCGAGTCCCCCATATTGAAGTGGCCGGCAAACAAACTCCCAATTCACCTTGCATTTTGCCCTCGACGTCTTGTTCGAACCGGACCATAAGAAAGCTCTCTCGAGCTTGTTTACATTGAGAAGGATGGTTGGCGGGATGACCAACGGTGTGGCTGGGTAGACCACCTGGATTGTGATCACAGACTTGACAAGAGTCGTTCGTTCGATGGTGGTGATGTTTTGGCCCTCATAAGTTGTTAACTTGCTCGCAACCTTGTCCACTAAAAACTGAAGATCCGCCAACTTTAGTTTCCAAATGGAGAGGGGGAGCCCAAAGTATCGCAGGGGGGAGAAGTCCTTGGTGCCGGCAACCTTCGGATTAGGCGACCCAAATCGAGATGGTTGCAACGAATGGGCACAAACGAGCTCTTTGTGGCAATTGGTGCACAGGCCCGTGACCTCCCCGAAGCCCTTCAAGATGCTTGGCAAGGTTGTCAACATCTCTTTTGATCGGAGCCAAGAAGAAGGCCACGTCATCTACGTATAGAGAGGTCCTCAACATGGCCCCCTTCCCCTAATTTTATGGAGGAGCCCCTTTCTCGTAGCAACATCAAGAATTCTTTGGAGCGGGTCAATGGCGATGTCGAAGAGGAGCTAAGGAGGGTCGCGATCCCCTTCTGGGATACCCAAATAAGGGGTACCCTTGCCGAAGGCCCTGCCCATGTTTAATTGGGTCGCCGGCAATATCATTGAGGATGATCCTCAATGAAGAGGAGCTAAGGAGGGTCGCGATCCAATCCTCAAATTTGTTTGGGAATCCTCATCATTGGAGTAGGTCAAGCAAATACTCCCACTTAACGGTGTCGAAGGCCTTGCGGATATCAAGCTTGAAGAGGAGGGAAGGGTTGTGAAGGCGCCGAGCAAGGTTGCGAACATACAAGAATTTGTCGTGGATGCTTCTTGTTTTGATGAAAGCGCTTTGGGCGTTGGAGACGAGACTTGTCATGTGGGGCCCAAGCCTTAAGGAGAGCGCCATGGCAATAATCTTCGCGATCGCGTGGATGAGGCTGATAGGTTATAATTGGCAATTCTCTCCGCCCCTTACTTTTTAGACAAAAGCGCCACTTTGCGGAATTGAGCCACTCGAGATTTGAAGTGTGAAGGGAGTCAAAATGACTAATGACCCTCATGAGGTCAGGCTTGACAATGTTCCAACACTTCTGGTAAAAGAGGCTGGTGAAGCCATCCGGCCCCGGGGCCTTGTCACTTGGCATGTCGTTGGTCGCTTCAAGGACCTCACTCTCGGTCATCGGGGAGTCGAGGCCATTCAAGTCGAGTGGATCCAAATTTAGCTCCTCCTATTTGAAATCTTCGCGGCTTTTGGGGCCTCTCTTCGTGACATTAGAAAAACGATCCATGACCAGTTTCTCTTGGCTTCATGCTTGGTGACCCACCCATGATCGTTCTTGATTCTATGGATATGGTTTTTTCGCTTCCTAGCATTAACTCGGCGGTGGAAGAATTTAGTATTTGTGTCCCCCCTCTCAGAGGTTGGAAATTCTTGCACATTGTTTCTTGCGTGATCTTTCTAGCACATCCAAACCAATGACTCTTCTCTTGAGCCTAGCTCGGAGCTCAACTTGGAAAGGAGCCTATCCTCTTGGGCAATGTCAAAGCGGAGAATCACCAAAAGAGCAGCTTGGTGGTGGATTTTTGCCTTTGAGAAAAGGCCCTACTCCATTCGGAGAGGCGCAACGCCACTTTTTGAGCTTGTGGTAAAGGATTTGGTATGGTTCAGTGTTTCGTTCCACGCCCTTAAAACCACCTCATTGAATCCGGGCATGAATGCCCAAAAGTTTTCGAATTTAAAGACTCAAGGCCTTCTTGGTCCCTTATCATCGGCAAGCAAGAGCGGGCAATGGTCGGAGAGGGAGGAGGAGAGTGCATTCAGGACATGGGTGTTGAAAGTTGTATCCCACTCAGCGTTGCAGAAGGAGTCCAGCTTGCACAAGGTTTGGTTTACCCTCTCGTTGCTCCAAGTGAACCTACGGTTTTGGAGGTGGATTTCTTTGAGCTTGATCCTGCTGCAATTAACATTTCTTTTGTTTCTGTCTTTGGCCTGGTAAATTTGGTTGAAATCCCCGAGCCAAGCCAAGCCATTCCCGATGGCGGCTTTGGCTTAGGTGCTCGACAAAGAAAGCGTCTTTGCAAGAGGGATCCATAGGGCCGTAGACGGATGTGATCTTGAAGAGCACGTCAATCCCTCTCACCCAGACCATGGCGGAGAGCTTGAAGAGACATCAGTCACTCTCACCCGAACCATTGTAG